TAAAACTGGATATAAAAAATGATGCACAATGGCACATGTGTTTTTTTCGCCCGGTGCAACGCACGGGCATTTGTACTAGTCATTCTCAAATATGATTTTCGTATCTTCATCATACTCATATCATGTCATTTTAAGTGCACTATCACATGGCAAGATTCTTTAAACACACATATAGCAATTTAACCTTATTTTAGTTTTGTACCATTCTCATATTCATGCAGCCTAGCCAGGGCAACAGGGCCTCACATGAACGTCTCACACGACATCACTTTAGATGTGACATAATTATGCACATTTAAATGAGCTCTAGTCACTTTAGAATAACCGGCCCTTGTTTGTGGTGGCCGGCTATGCTATAGAGTAGGAGGGGGTTGGATGCATCGCTGTCATATTGCATGAATTTGTGTCCAAAAACTATTGCGGGTTACCTTGCCGTACTCCCGATAGAGTTTTGAGTTGGCACGTGAACAGAATCAGTGTTGTTTTCTACTACTCGGCAGGAGTCGTACGTACGTACGTGTCAGGTTTGTATTACTTACTATATACAGCAGCACTACTACGTCGACCTTGTGCTGTGTATAAGTAGACGATCAGCACGTACGGAAGCTGCTCGATTCTTACTACTAGTAGTTTTCACGCCATCATCGATCCATGGATCCTCTCGTCGACACCGTGGAAGCGACCCTGGACGCGCAAGACAGCGGACCTGATGAGCTCGTCCCGGTCCCGATGGCCAAGGACGGCGACCTACTCTTGGATCTCGCCCCCGATACCAACGTCGACGTGGCCGCCTCCGTCGATGGCGACCTAGTCGTCGCTGCCGCCATTGGCCATGGTGTTCTGCACCGGCAAGTTGCTGCCGCCATCGTCGATGATGGCGTCCTGCCCCTGGACGTGCCAGATAACTCTGCCGGACCTCAAGTCCACGGCGTCCAGCTTCAGGACATCGCCAACGATGACAACGACCAAGACCTCCTGTCCCTGGACTTGCCAGCAGGAGGTGGACCTCTCGCCATCGTCGCCACAGAGGACGACGACCAGGACCTCGACGTGCCCGACAACACCGACCTGGACTATGGCTATGACTATGCCGTCGTTGGAGGTGACAGCGACGGCGTCCAGCTCCAGGACGTGGCCACAGCTGGTGACAACGACGACCTCCTGCCCCTGGAGTTGCCGCCGGCAGGAGGTGGAATCCTCACCGTCCTTGCCACAGACGGCGACAACAACGACGTGCCCAACAACACCCAGCCAGTCATTGACTATGACAAACTGCGGACTCTCGTCGCCGCATCCAAATACGGGGAACCTGATCCCATCGACATGGCCAAAGGCAACGGCGGCGAACTGATGCTCAGTGACATGGCCGCCACCTCCAACGACGGCGTCTTCCCTCTGGAGGTGCTGTGCGACATCCTACTGCGCGTACCAGCCAAGACGGTATGCCGCTTCCGCTGCGTCTCCACCTCGTGGAGTTCCCTCCTCCGCCACCCAGGCTTCATCGCCGCCCACAGGGCCCGGCACCACCAAACGCTCATCGCCGCTACCGTGCGCCTGGACCACAGCAGCAACGACATGGCGATGGGCGTCAACCTCCTGGACATGTCCGGCAACGTGGTCAAGATGATACGAACCAGCGCCGCCGTGACACAGTGCTCCCTGTACGGTATGTGCGCGCACGGCGAGCTCGGCAGCCTCGTCGGAAGAACGGATCGGCGTCTGCGCGTGCTCGACGTGGCCACTGGAGCCGTGGCCGCCTTCCCGCCGCGGCCCCGCGGGGCCCCGGCGTGCACGCTCGGGAGGGTGCCCTCCACGGGAGAGTACAAGGTCCTGGCCATCGTCCCGGACACGTACGACCAGGTCAGCATGGTGCTCACCCTCGGAAGCAACGGCGGTGGCTGGTGGAGGGATAGGGGGAGCCCGCCGGTCATCGTGGGTAGACGGCAGAGCGACGTGGCCGTCGTCAAGGGGGTCGCCTACTTCTTCGTGGAGATGGAGGATGACCTTGAACCAGAAGATCCTCACTTGATCGTGGGGTTCGACCTCGAGACCGAAAAATGGCTGCCGGCCCCCATGTTCGCGCCGCCTGCACGCGAGGACCACGGCCACACACCTGCGCACCACCACGTCGACATGAGCCTGGCAGAGGTCAACGGCTTCCTGGTCGCGGCTCACCCCGACAAAGACGTCTCCGCCGTGAAGCTGTGGTTCATGATGGACGTCGATGCAGAGATAAGTCTATGGTTCCTACTGTACAAGATCCCCATGGCGGTCGGGCGCGAGTATAGCTTCGAGAAGCCACTGCGGGTGCTGGACGACGGGAAGATCGTCGTCTGGTCGTCGCTGCGGGGGACCCGTGACGGCGTGCCGCAGATATATGACCCGAGAACGAACACGCTAACACAAGGGGCGGTGACGGCGAACTGCTACGCCGTCGGCCCCTACACGGGATGCCTGCTGCGTGTTGGGAGTCCAAATCCTCGTAGATACAAGACGCTCGAGCTGCTGGGTGCTGGGAGTTCGCATGGCCACAGCAGGACGATCGAGTATGGCAGGTGCCGCGGCCGCACCCGCAGTAAGGAACTATTTGTCCAAAGCACTACAACTAGTGTGTATTAGCTTCAAAAATACTCCCTCCGTTCCGAATTACTTGTCGCAGGTATGGATGTATCTACATGTATTTTAGTTCTAGATACATCCATTTCTATGACGGGTAATTTGGAACGGAGGGAGTAGGTGTTTATGAGTAGTAGTAATGCTAGGCTACGGGCGTATTTTACAGACTTCATTATACGGGCTGACGTGGAGCAAATCTGTTGGAAATAGGTGGAGGGGCCACCCCTGTGAAATTTACGGGGAGAGAGAGGGGGGTTGTTTTTGCTGTTTTGCTAACGCATATCTAGATGTGCTCTAAATATTGCACATTTGAGTCCTATATCATTGATTTTACGCTAAGATTCGTGTAAGCATTTTCTTTTGTCTTTTTGTCTTTTTCTTTCGAGTTTGATTGAGTTGTTTAGATGTGCAATAACTAGAGCATATCTAGATGCGTCTTGGTTTGATAGTTTTTAAGTAGTTTGTAAGAATGGGATTTTTGATACTAGTAATATTCTAGTGTTGGAACTTGAAAAAAAAATGTTTGGATTGCTTACCACGTGTGTCATGTGACGATCGTTGGAACTTGGAACTAGTGTTTGTATCCGTGTCATATGTCATATTGCATGGATTTATGTTGGACAAGTGCACAGACAGAGTTGCATATAAGTATGCAAAGATTGCATGTTATACCATTACCTTATGTACCGTAGCTAGTCCAGAGTTAGAGTGAGCCACGCGAACAGAATCACCCCTAGCTAGGAGACCGGCCGGTTCATATTTTGTTATTGCACAAGTGCTACGTCCTTCTGCTGTACGTGTATACAAGTAGACGAGTCTCTTCTCCGTATGATAAAAATTTGTGCGCCTCGAAAAGCTTGTCGACTCTTGTTTCCACATACGAGCCACAAGTAACCCGGGGCCGATCAATCCATATGGACCCTCTCGTCGACGCCGTCGAACAGCCCCTCGACGTGCAAGCCGGCAGACCTGATGATCTCGTCCCGGTAGCCAAGGATGGCGACCTACTCTCCGATCCCGCTACCGAGACCAAAGTCACCGTAGCGGCCTCCATCGCCGGCGGCCGGCCTAGACGTCGCTATCGCCGTTGACGATAGTGTCATGTCCCTGGACATGGACATGACAGATAGCTCTACCGGACATCTCCACGACGTCGCCCGCTGATGACAACGAAGCCGACGACGACAACCTCCTGTACCTCGAGGGGGTGCAGCTCCAGGAGGACGTTGATGACATGGCGATGTGCGTCAACCTCCTCGGCACCATCGGCAACGTGGTCAAGAAGATAAGGGGCCACACCGCCGTGGACCAGTGCTCCCTGCATGGGATGTGCGCGAACGGCGAGCTGGCCTGCCTCGTCGGAAGGATGGACCAGCACCTCCGTGTGCTCGACATGGCCACCGGCGCGGCAGCCGCCTTCCCGACTGGCCACGCGGGGCCCTGACGTGCACGCTCGGGAGGGGGCCATCCACAGGAGAGTACAAGGTCCTGACCATGGTCGTCCGCAAAAGGCGCAGTGTAGATGGGGTGATGTTTGGTACAACCAGGTGGCCATGGTGCTGACCCTGGAAGAAAAGAGGGAGCCCCGAGGTTATGGTGCGGAGGTGGCACCGACAGGAGCCTGGCGGAGGTCAACATCTTCCTGGTCGCGGCCCATCGCGACAAAGGCGCCTCCGTTGTAAGGCTATGGTTCTGGATGAACGTTCACGTGGAGAATCGTAAGTGGTTCGCGATGTACAAGATCCCCATGGCGGGCCTCGAGGGAGTCAGCTTCGACAAGCCATTGCGGGTGGTCGTCGATGGATGGGACTGTTTGGTTATTCCTTCTTGCATTGTGTAATAACTAAGGTCCAATCATTCGATTGATTTAGCACAAAGATGCAAGAGAAAAATCCCGAAAGACCCTACCTGAAGAGGGGATAATTGGCATGGCGCAGCTCGAAAATCCCAGCATTAAGGAGCAGAATATAGGGACAGGGGCACCTTGCCAGCAATGGCCTCGCCACTGCTGCATCTCCTGCAGAGTTCAAAAGGAATCAAACATGTGGTAGTTTGAGAGGAGTAAAGTGAGCCCGTTGAAGAAGTCAAATGACTCAGTGCATTTTACCTTTGATTCAAATCATCCTACTCCATCAATAAAATGTAAGCCACACCACCTGCAGCTTCAGAAGTTTTCAAGATTTCACCTGGTATACATTCAGTAGTCAATTCCCAAGTGCGTTCTTGTGATCGGATGATGACCAAATGTGTTCCCATCTAACCAACCCACTGCAACTAATGATGTCCACGATTACCCGAACACAAGACAGGCTAAGCTTGTAGCGATAGGTCAAACTGAAACTGCAGTTAGAAATCCCGGAGAACACTGCAAGGATCGGTGTTTTTCATTCGAAAACAGATATTTCACCAGTCCACCCACATGAAGCAATCACATTATGTAGTACAGGGTGGTATGCAACATAAGTGCACGCTTCTTTGAAGGCTTCGATCTTTCTCAGAAACCTCGAGGACTTATAGTCATAAAAGTAGATGCAGCCATCGGACGAACCAGATGCAAGCTCCCTCCCGCTCAAAGAGAAACTGCACTTTATCGGAAAGCCCCACACTCCATGTCCTTCGAACCGCCTGTACCTGTTTAGCTTGAATGGCGGCCTTGCTGAGAAAATAGCGATGTAGTTGCCGTTGGATTGCGCGACAAAAGAAGCTTCGTATGGGTGGTATCTCACACAGGGACAGGTGAATGCTTCTGTATAAACCTGTGATACAGAGTGGGATTCGTGTCAAGTTCCAGTGTAATTATTCAAATACAGTTCAAATTTTTGCAAAACTTGTTCCCTGAAACACCCACTTTTGATAAATAATTCAAGATTCATCAACATGAAACAGGAACTTTTAGTCAAACAAAATAATTGTTATGAGTACTTCAGTCAGCACGGTTATCAGCTCCAAACTGCAAAGAGCGTCGGTGGATAGGACTAGCTTGCAGCTGCTCGAGAGTCGGAAGGCATTAGGTTAGGGAAGTGTTAATTTAAAAGTATCCATTCCAAACACAGTGAAATATAGGGATAAATGTTATAGCGTACATAGATTGGGTTAGGTAGTCCATTTTGCATTAGGACATTGAGTTCAGTTCATATCAGATCAGTTGTTATGTTATAAAAGCACATCACGTAACTTCATGTAATCAGTTGTGATCAATTAATCAAATTATATTAATATCATAGTATATTCGAGGCTACAGACATGTTTTTCTTTCTAGACACTAAATTTGCAGCTATGCTTGACAAAAATGAGCTATACAGGTGAAAATACCTTCACGGGTAAGATAGAGGCAAATATAACCAGTAAACAAACAAGCATTTTAAATAAGGATCATTTCTCCTTTCTTTCAACCATCAAAATATGCCTAACTTGAATGTGTGTGCATACAAATGGGGAAAACATCATGATCTACTGGAAGGAAGAGAGATACTAACATATATAAAAAAACAAAAATCTGTTACCTGGTTAGATAGAGGAACTTCTCGTAATATATCCCATACAATTATAGTGTTCTCACTAACATTACTTCTGGTTGTGTCGGTTGAAGAGATAAACTGCTTCCCATCAGCACTGAAGTCAAGGTCGAGGATGGTGCCAAGACTTCTGTTGAACTCTTTAGTTGTCAAGCCAGTTCGAATATCCCAGAGCCTAAGAGAACCCTTGGAACCACCAGACAGGAAGAGATTTGAGTTGCTTGGACTGAACTTGATGACCTCCACTGGTTGATCCTCCTTGAATACCGTGATTTCTTTTCCCACCTCGGGGTCAACTAGTCGTGAGGAACAATCAAGCCCCCCGGAAAGTAAGAAGGGCCGATGATGGGACCACTTCACATCCTTTACAGCAGCAGTATGATGTTTTAAAACTCGAGCAGTAGTATCCCCTCTGTTCCAAACGTTCCATACGCGGACTGTATGATCCATTCCAGCAGAAGCAAGAAGATGTCCTGTGAATTTGCTTCTTGGTGAGTATCTGCTGGCAATAATGTTCTAATTGAATAGAATGAAAACAGAGAGCAGGATTATCCTGAAACTGTGTACATCAATATGTAAATTACAAAACTACCATCAAGTCATCTCATGCATCACACTTGGTAGCAGTAGTTAAGAGTGGAACATGATATTATGACATACCAAAGAATCTTAATATATCTATGGAATTGAGCAACACAACATCAAGATATACACTTCAACTATCTGAATAACAGAATACTTTCCAACTTTGTTCCCATGAATAATAGAACCTTATCCGACTTCTTACTTGTGGGTTAAGAGAATGTAATAATATGTAAGATAATACTTTGCCAGGTTCATCATATCCTTAACTTCACAACTGCTGACATGTATTGCATGTCCTTTCTTCACTAGTTAATATACCATCCTCTTTTCATGTTAGAAGACCAGATTGTCATAATACAACAATTTATTGTGAATCAAAAACCAAAAGGCTAGAATCCTACATTTTGTTTTAAACATGTAACGCATAATCCCAGAGAACGCTCCACACCTCATCATTTATAAGAGGTGTTACTTATAATTTGGTCAATATAAGTCAATGTGAAAAGTTAAATCAAAGTATAGAGACTACCTACATACCATGGCTCGGTGACCAATCCACACAATTGACTGCTTTAGTGTGACCCATCAAAGACACTGAGAGCTTCAAAGGTGAACTGCTGTTTGATCCAGGCTTTGGTTGGCACCGTAAAGAATGCAAAACATCAGCTCGAATATTTGAATCAGCAAAAGATCCAACAACTGCAATAAGAAGCACAGAGCACATGAGCAAGGAACGTAAATGGTGTTTAAGAAGCAAGAAAAAAAAACTAAGATAACACTTGCATCACTCGCAATTCACTGAGTCATCATCACCAATGTTTCATATGAGCAAAGTATCACTACAAGGGACAAAACAGGGCTTCGGTTTTCTTGCACAGCAGCTAACAATTCAGAGCTTTTAATTCACATTTACACAATAATTCTCCACAATTCCTCACGCAGTTTCAAGTTCAACCATTAACTACCGGTATGTAAATAGACAAGATCGGGTCGATACTAAATTTTGCATTATGCTATTGACGAATGAAAGCTCGATTTTATCTTGACATGGATGACACGAGAATCTCACTTGAGCAGTGTAAAAATTTCTGACATCAATGTTGTTGGTCACAATGCATATTCGGACATCAATTTTGCCAATCTAACCGCGACAAGGAACTCGGAATGTCTTATCCAACCTCTGCAGTGGCTGTCAGAAGGGGGTCAAGGGCGTCCTCACCTGGGGAGTCGAACTCCGGCGCCACCGGCGGAGGAAGCAGTGCCGCGGAGCCCACGGGAGGCTGGGATGCCGCCAGGAGGGCGCGCTCCCTCTTGGAGACGTACCTTCTGCCAGCCAGTGGCGGCGGCGCGGCTTGGGGTGGGGCCGGTCGCGGGGAGGGGAGGGGAGGTGGTGGTGGGTACCCAGGGTACGGGGGAGATTCCCACCGCGGCCGCTTCGGGGGAGGCGGGGCGACCGAGGGGAGGGCCGTGGCGGACCAGCTGGGAGGCGGGGCGGCGTCGGCGTCGTCGTCGGAGGTGGCGCCGTAGGCGGCGGAGAGGAGATCCATCGGCCGGAAGGTTATTTTTTTTCGACGTCAATATCTGGCGTTCGATCGCCAGGGGGGGCTGCCTCCCAGCGACCGTTTTTGCTCTTTCGCCAGCAGGCAGGCCCAGCCCAGCGCGACCCCCCAGACCCAAAAGGCCCAGTTAAAGTGTTTTTCTTGTTTAAAATTGCCACATTACAACTTTAAACCCCCCCTAAAAAATACAGCTTTAAAACAAAAACAAAATAGTTTTGAGTGATCTGCCTTTTTTTTTGCCATGCCAAACTTAAAAACTGCCATCCTCCAGATAAAAACAAAAACTGCCATCTTTGATAAGAAAAATGCCATGAATTAGAAAATACGCGCAAAAATGCCATGTCAACAATAATAAAAATGACATTCTCTCAAAAATAAAACTGCCACCTGTTAATAATTAAAATTTCCATGCTTAGTCAGAAAAATGTCATCCTTTAGAAAAAAAATAAAAACTACAATTGTTACTAATAATAAATGCCATGCTCTTAAAAAATAAAACTGCAATCCTTTTAATAATACAAATGTCATGTAGATAATTATTTAAATGCAATGCTCTAATTAAAAACTGCCATGGGGGCACTCTAAAACATGGGAAAATTGTCATGCAACATATAATAAAAATGCACATGCCAAATTTAGAAAAACAATCACCTCTAAAAATTATAGGGATTTTTGTCCTAATAGACAATGGCAATTATCGAGATTTTGGATTTTTTGCAAATGAAAAAAACAAATTTAAAACAAAAAAAACTCAAATATATAAAAGTTGTTTGAGTGCAAAGTGTTCACAACCACCTCTCTCGATTTCCCTAGGGTTTCAGGCGCCTAGACCCCCAGGTCTCCTTTGTTATGGGACTTGCCCAATGGCTCTCTTTTGCTTCAAAAATAATATTCGGATTTTTCCTGTAAGTTAAAACTACCTATATTCCTTGAAAACATAAACACTAAAAAACAAGAGGTGGTCATGCACACTTTATTAATATGTTATTTCTTAAAGACTTGAAAATTTAGCATACATGATGGAAATAAGAACTGGACACTACAAAAAGGCACATTTAGAATATATATATATATATATATATATATATATATATATATAGATATATATATATATATACTCTGGTTCAAGGAAATAAGAAGTTAAAGGAAAACAAGAACAATACTATACCTTGCCCACTAATGGCAGTACCTGGTTGTGTTTGTACAGGTTTCTTCTTAAACTTAAGGGATTTTTTGGATAGCTTTATTTCCGACTTAGTGGAAAAAACTAATTCAGTGGTCGGCAAAAGAATGATGGAGGTGGAAAGTTCAAAATGTCTCTGCTTTACTAAATCTAGTGAAATAAACAACGATACATCACGACAAACAACATGTAGAAAGAACTCCAGTAATAACTACATATGTTGCCAAATTGCTACAAATGTTCAAAGTGCTAATTTATATCATTTCAAGGAGGATTGGTTGAATGGCGACCTGTCATTGTCCATGACGTTCTCGACTTAACTATTGGATTGAGTTGGGAACAAACGGTAATGTGTCAGGGCTCGCGAAAGAAGAGAAGCAAGAATAACATAAACAACTCACTGTTAAACCTATTTAATCACTAACACACTGTAAGGTAATTGCCGTCATGATGATTATTGATTTCATCGTACCATTTATACAAGTTAGGTAAAAAAATTGAGATTGACGATTAATATATGCATCTTTTAAATTCTCCGGATAATTTGTTTGAAATGTATTAATCTTTGTTTCAGTATACTTGTTGCAATTTAACAAGTCAGGTTTTCAGTGTTCTGATCAATTTAACTTTTTGTTTTTCTATTCAAATCTGCATACTTATATAATTATTGTCGCGTATTACTATGTGGTGTTTTGGGCGTTAAGAAAATACATGTCTGAAGTGTATTTCACTATAGTTGTTAGAGCATGTCTGTGTTTTTTCTGAAGAGATTTACAATGCTGCTCTTACCATATTGGCTACCTATATTTAAATAAATAAATGTTGAGAGCACAAATTTCTTTCTTAATATAAAAAAATCCTGAAAATAAAAATCGAATCTAAATAAATTAAATATTTATATTAAACTTTTATACATGTTTATAACACACTATTAACTGCCAGCGGTTACTTATTTTTTATATTTACTTACGATAATTATGCTCAATATAAATAATAGTATTTTCTGCTAAGTTGCAATGTATGTCATTAAAAAATGTGCATGCCCTACGCAAAATTTGATTAGCTTCTTTCTATTAAATAGATTGCACCAAAATAGAATACATAAAATTGCATGCTTTCATGGATTAAATTGTGACACTCACATGACCATAGTATATATGTATATCTCTATCTCTATGTGTGTGTGTCTTTAAAAGTCAGAGATATCCTGATAGCGGCTTCTAGTAAACTATTAGGTATTCATAGAGAGAGAAAATCTCGTACATATGTTTACAACATCCCAAATCCTTGGCCACATATCGCATCTTCGTCGCATCTCACATGTGGATCGTGCATGGATGTACCTACCAGGATCGTGGAACCTGGAGGCAACATCATATTATGACTTTGATTTGGTGGTAGAAGTTGGATAAGTCGGTCTAAGTTTCTGGCTCTGGTTCGATTGGAAACATTAGTATCCTAATATGCATTGTGACCAACTGCTAAAGTGAGATTCTTGTGTCATCTACGTGGAGATAAAATTGAGCCATCATTCGTCGATAGCATAATGCAAATTTTAGTACCGATCTGATCTTGTCTATTTACATACCGGTAATGGTTGAACTTGAAACTATGTGAGGAATTGTGGAGAGTTATTGGGTAAACATGAATTAAAAGCTCTAACTGTTAGCTGTTGTGCAAGAAAATCAAAGCCCTGATTTGTCCCTAGTAGTGATATTTTGCTCGTATGACGAATTTGTGATGAGTCAGTGAGTTGCAAGTGACACAAGTGTATCTTAGTTTTGTTTTCTTGTTTTATTAACAACATTTATGTTCCTTGCTCGTGTGCTCTATGCTTCTTATTGCAGTTATTGGGTCTTTTGCCAATTTAAATATTTGAGCTGATATTTTGCATTCTTTATGCTGCCAACCAAAGCCTGGATAGAGCAACAGTTCACCTTTGAAGCTCTCAGTGTCTTTGATAGGTCACACTAAAGCAGTCGATTGTGTGGACTGGTCACCGAGTCATGGTATGTAGGTATTCTCTGTACTTTGATTTGCTTTTTTTGCTTGGACTTATGTTTACCAAATTATAAGTAAACACACTTAGAAATGAGATGTGTAAGACGCTCTCTAGGATTATGTGTTACATTTTCTTTGCAGGATTCTTGCTTTCTGGTTTTTGAGTCACAATAAATGTTATATTATGAGCAATCAGTCATCTAACATGATATGATCATGGTATATTAACTAATGAACAAGGACATCCAATACATGTGATAATGACGTCATTTTCTAAATTTGATGATATAAACCTGGCAAAGTATCTGTAGATATCAAGTGCTATACTCACTCTATTCCATTCTCTTCCCTCACAAGGAAAAAGTCTGATAATGTTCTACTATACACAAAAACAAAGTTGGAAAGATTCTGTCATTCATATAGTTGAAGTGTATATCTTGATGTTGTGTTGCTTAATTCGATAGATATATTGAGAATTGGAGATTCTTTGGTATGTCATATTATCATGTTCCACTCTTAACTACTACCAAGTGTGATGCAATGAGATGAGTTGATGGTGATTTTGTAATTTACATATTGATGTACACTATTTTAGGATAATCTTGCTCCCTCCTTTTATTGTATTCAAATAGAACTTTATTGCCAACAGATACTCACCAAGATGCAAATTCACAAGACATCTTCTTGCTTTTGCTAGAATGGATCATACTATCTGCATATGGAACGTGTGGAATAGAGGGAATACCACTGCTCGAGTTCTAAAACATCATAGTGCTGCTGTAAAGGATGTCAAGTGGTCCCATCATCGGCCCTTCTTACTTTCTGGGGGGTTTGATTGTTCCTCACGACCAGTTGATGCCGAGGCGGGAAAAGAAATCATGGTATTCAAGGACGATCAACCAGTGGAGGTCATCAAATTCAATCCAAGCAACTCAAATCTCTTCATGTCTGGTGGGTCTAAGTGTTCTCTTAGACTCTGGGATATTCGAACTGGCTTGGTAACTAAAGAGTTCAACAAACCATCCTTGACCTTGAATTCAGTGCTGATGGGAAACATCTTATCTCTTTAACTGACACAACCAGAAGCAATGTTAGTGAGAACAACTATAATTGTATGGGACATATTACGAGAAGTTCCTCTATCTAACAAGGTGCCATATTTTTAAACTATTTATTTGCTTGATATAGCATATTATCTATCTTCCTTTTGGTACCTCATGACATTTTTTTCCAATTATATGCACACACTCAAGTTGGGCATACTTTGAAGATTGAAAAAAGAGAGTAGACATTATCCTTATTTAAAATGCTTGTTTATTTAATTTTTATATTTGCCTCTATCTTACCTGTCAAGTTATTTTCACTTGTATAGCTCATTTCTGTCAAGTATAATTGCAGATTTATAGTCTACGACATATGTATGACAGAAGATAAACATGTATGTACACTTGAATACAGTATGATACTAATAGAACTTGATTGATTGATCACAACATAGTGCCCTGAATGTATTGTGATAGTGTTACAGTAGGTTAGTACATTGAACTATGGAGTTAGCAGTACATAGCCACGCCAAGACGGTTTACGGAGCTATCCATTAAATATTGGTGGAACGGCATGTCCAAGGAGATGAAGCCTCATAGAAAGCAATGACCTCTTTACCCATGCTAGTCTCTTGGACAGGTTGAAATGAAAGGAATACTAGGATCTTCCACGATAAATCTGCATTGCCCATGATCCTCTTGCAAGAGATAAAGAAGGAGACAAAGCTTTGGCTCATTGCGGGTACTAAACATTTGAGTAT